TGGACAAAGTGTATATAGTATATAAGCAACTAGTAGACTTAAAGATGAAAAGACTGAAGAGGGCTCCTGCCAACTCTGTAAGATCTAACTCATCTTTTGTTTTCCTTTCCTATTACAGGGATAAAGCTTGACCAAAGGTATGAACCTTTAGAATGGGTCAAGAACACTTGGCCCTTGGCCTGTGGCTTGCAACCTGTCGCCTTGGATGAGCTGTCCTAGTGAATTCATGACTGGCTGAAGATGTAGCTTCTTATATTGTTTCATTTGTTTAAATTGTATTTTTTGAATTGTGGGAAGTCACTTTGGGTTAACCTTGTACACTAGTGGAACAAATGCACCATTAAGAGCCAAACTAAACTTGACAGCGGCGCAGGTCCATCCCATGGCCACCAACACTGTTTTGGAAGCCACTGTAGCATCAAAAGAATTCCTGTGAGGCCCCACTCTGGATTGGAAATGTGGCTTGGTGGCCCCAGGACCTCTGCCCCCCTCCCATGCCTTCTCAGGTGCAGAAACAGCCCCCCACAGCTGTTTTTGGCACTTGAAAAGGTAGAGAGGGGGAACAAGAGCTCCTGGAGCGGCTGCGCTGCATGCCTGATCCAGATCAGGGCCTCACAACCATTAAGAAACTACAATGGCCTGCTCCTTTACATGACTGAAAGAGAGCTTACAGATAAAATCTGGGTTCACTATGCTGGATTTTCTTGACATCACAGTGAGATAAATCACAGGAGAGGAGGGCAACAGAAGAATTTTATTCCATTTAGATACAATTTAGAAAAAAATTCCCATATTCAGATATTTAAATGTTGGTGGATTGGTAAAAGCTTTTTAAGAGGCAAGGCACAAGACAACACGTCAAGATGGTACAATTTGGTACAATAGCTCAAATAGATGGTATACAAAAACCTAGTAACTAACAGAAGATAAAATCTGGGAGGGACAATAAAGAATGCCCTCCTCTTCTAGACATTTATAACAGAAACAAAAGCTAAAAATACTTGAGTTTTACCCAGGATTGGTCATGTGATAAGTTGGTATTGCATGGGGGCTCAAGCTCACTCCTTCCATTTATTTTATTTCTGCTTTATTTATTTCGCCACATGAGTGCCAATTTTGGGAAGGGCCTTCCACATGCTGCTTTATTGAACTCAGATGTGCTTTTATAGTAGACAGGACATCACTGGGTGTCAGGAACACACCAAAGGTTCAGAACAACCAAACTAGAGAAGTGCCTACCAGCCTTTTCAATGTGTACCACTAGCAAAATACCTGGGTATGTGGGAAGGCAATTGACATATATATTGTAGGAACCCATAATGGTTCCCAATTGCATGGTCAATACACACACATGTGTGCACACATACTCACAAAAACCATGAACAGAAACCAGGCCATTCAGTGATGGGGCTAGTTTTGCCACAATTATCCATGACACTGTTCAAGGGCAGCACTTTACCTTTTCCTAATGATAAAATAGTGCTCTCTGATCTTAGCTGGCTTCCTGCAACCTTGCAATTCAATGTCTTGATACTGTCTTCAAGTCCTGAACAATTCAGGTTGGAATTGCATGCACATTTTAAAGCAGTTTAACTGAAGTGGAGGAAGATTTCCAAGTGATAATATGCACCACCATTCACAAGTTATAATTTGCTCCATTTAAATGCTACCATTTACCCCTCCAGTATGTGTAGGAGAAGACAGATGACAACCCCCCCACCTCCCATTTGCCTGTCTTGAATACTGGGCCCTAGTGCCTTACAACTATTTGTAGACAAAATCCCGTAAGACTATATGCAATGCTACCTTTTTACATTACTTGC